TCATTAAATAGGTATTTTTCAATATACTTTTTAATTTCAAGAAAGGCAGTTTTAGCTCTAATAAATCAAAATCAAAAAAAGTTAAGAGAACTTTGCTTAAGACTTAAAGCCAGAGAACAGGTTAGAATTCTGTTCAAATAGTAGGTACATGAACCTATCGACATCTCAAGAGCAGACACAAATCCTTAAATCTGGTAAACAAAGCCTAGAAGAAAACCAGTCATGTTTTAGTCAAAAGTCATAAAATCCATTTCGCCAGCTCAGTCTCATGTACTTAATCTATTTTCTGCTGTGGTCCAATCTTTCTGTTTAAATTCTGGAAGAAACTTAAATGTACAGGAATAAATACTCTGCTTTTAAGTTTATTTATCTATTTCTTCTATGAGACAAAGAGAAAGAGTCAGAGACAGAGACAGAGAGGAGAGAAAAGAAAGAGAGAATCAGTCAGCCAGGATCACAGGCACTTGTGTGTGTGTCCAACATGTACAGGGAACCTTCAGGGTGTCAACCCGGAAACTTCCCACATGGCTTCAGCATCACGGAGCATTACATTATTGCTGCACCACTGAGGCTGACCTGGAATCAATATTCCTGGTCTCGCATCTTCTTTAGATCATATGTACACATCAGAATCTTCTTGCATTTAACTATTTACATGCATGGGTGAGGCGTTCCAAAACATGTGACTAAAGGGGATTTCAATGAGGAATACTGATTTTAAAACATCACTTTCTCGATGTCAGACCATATCCTTGCTGTTACACAATAATGCCATCTTATGGCTGCATGGCAATTTGTAGTCTAAAAACTGCTTTCATTTCTATTATCTCATTTGAACTGTGCTATCTTCTTAGGCTTTGCAGAATAATTTCTTGAAAGTAGGACAGACAGATTCATTAATGGCTGAAGGTATAGTAATGATGGTTATCAGAAAGAAAGTAAAGATCATAGTATCTGGCAATTAATAGGCCCTTCTTCAATGTTCATTGTAAGAAGTTATGGGCTTTGTTTCACTAATACCAGATAGATCTGATGTTAATTATTAATTTTCACATGTTTTCTTTAGGTATATTTTATAAATAGTTAGAAACCCACTTAGAAATTGATGAAAAAAGGATTCAGTACTGATATTAATTTTTATAAAGCTAAATCTTTTTTTAAATTTTATTTATTCATTCATTTAGTTTTAATTTGACAGAGAGAGACATACAGAGAGAGAGAAGCGGGGAAGTGAGAAAGCAAGCCACCAGGTTCAGGACTTGAACCGTGGTCAGCCATGTGGGAGTGTCCAGCACCTTAACCACCATGCCACCTGCTGGTCCCTAAAGCTAAATCTTTATCTTACATATATTTATATCCATCTGCAAATACATGGTACTTGTGAATTTTATATTGACTGGGTTGACTATTAGGAGACTATTTAGAAGAATACCAATGGAAAGGGGCAACTTTTAATATCATGATAATTTGTAATATTTCTGAAACAAATGTTGAAATTGCATTTGCTGGTGCAATAGGCAGTGGGATGCCACTGTGTGATACTGAAGCCACGTGGAATGGTCCTGGATTTGGATCCCAGGTAGACCTGAGCACATAGGGTATGCTCATGGGTGTGCCTATGATCCTGGCTGGCTGGGGAACTGGGCAGGTTTTTATCAGAGGGACACTGTTAGGGATGCTTGGCTGTATCTGTTTGTCTGTCTCTCATTGGAAAAAAAATTCATTTTTCTGTAACAAAATATATGGAAGCAGGCCTCTCTCATTTTTATTTTAGAATTATATATTTAATTTATTATTATTATTGTTGTTGTTGTTATTACATTTTCTATAGGACACATGTACTCACCAGAGTGAGAAAGAGAGAGAGACACGCCAGGTCCTGGATTCAAACCACTCCTAGCCTTATGGGAGTCTAGTGCCTTAATTACCACACCATCTGCTGGCCCCAGGATGTAGGTCTCTTATATAATGAGTGAGCAGTAACATATAAGTCTGGCTTTTAATTATATTGTCGTTCTTGCCTTTAGAATAACATCTGTGATATTTTATAACATTTAATAAAAATAAATTTTGCAATTATGACTTTAAAAAATTTGGTGATTAATGATGGTCTTAGAACTTATGCCTTGGGAATGCTGAGAATCTAATGTACTTTCTCTTATTTGTAATTTATTGTGAATAACATATGCAAACCTATTAGACCTAAATATTTTGGTAAAAGAGGAATATAAGCAAATCTGCTATTTAGTATGTGCTTGTTAACATTTTGGGGGGTTATTTTCCTCCCCTGTAAAATAATGAAGCAGGACAAAATCACTAACGTATTTTCTAGCTGTACAAAAATTCTTTATTATTAATTATTAACTAAATCTAATAGTTTGGGTTATTGTTCAACAACTGTTCATGCTGTTCCCTCTTCCTCTGGAGGAAGAGACTACTTTGTCATGCTGTTGATGTCAGGTTTGGTCATGTAATTTGCTTTGGCTGACGAAATGTTAATGGACTTGACCGGAACACAGGCTATAAGTGATCTTGGTAGGTTAGTCTTAGTTCATATGCCGGTTAACTGGCATCAGAAGAGTGTGCCACTGACCTTCACCTCAGTAATGAATCAAGCCCAGAATAAAGCCACAAGTAGCATACCTTAATCCCAGTAATCCAACAGGCATCCTGGAGCCTAGCTGGGATAACTCACATCTTCAAGGAGAGCTGCTTAGCCAAGCCTAGCCTGTGTTAGCCAAACTACAAACAACCTAAAGACCCAGAAAGTTATTGTGTTTTGGGGCAATTTAAATCATAGCATTATCATGGTAAAATCTAAGTACTACACTACCATAGACAGGTCATTTGTGAAAAAATACTGATATATTCTTTTTATTGGCTCAAAGGTATGTTGATTTAAACTTAATTTGGCTTATTAAAATCTTCCATATATTTTTGTTGAAGGCCCAACAAGAAGGTTGTGTTCTTGTGAATACATGCCTTCTAAAACTCTCTAAGGATTTACGAGTCTGCCATTATATGGGCCTTGGTAGGACAAAAGGTATTGACTACCACTACAATGGTGATCAAATTTCAGCTAATTATTTCCTCTGACACCTGGAAGAACCTAGTTCTGCCACCAAGCCTACTTTGTAACAAAAGTCATCAATTTATGGCCTACCAGCAAAATTCAGCCTCCCACCTATGGTAGAACATATAATTTTAGTGGAACAAGCTCTGCAGAGACTAAAGTATTCACCAACTGGCCCTTTATATATATATATATATATTTTTAAATAATCCCTAAATAATCCAACCTCTGCCGTATCATATGCTTCAGTCAGAGACCTTATTAAAGAGTGAGTGACACACACACACATGAAAGTAATCATTTAGATGCTTTTTGACAGTAATAGTAGCAAGCGATGTCCGTGGCAATGGTGCCCCGGTACAGCCATGGATCATGATCATAACAATAGTTTATAATTCAGATTTATCTTGTGACTCAACGGTGGATGTTTCTGAATGTCTACCCAAGGCTTTCTCAATAATTTCTGTCCATTGTTTTCCTGGCTCTCTCGTTTTCCCATTGATTCCATAAGGTACATTTTATTCTTCCAGCAAATTATATAATTCTAACTAAGGTAGAACTGGAGAGGTAGTAGGGCAGGCAGGAAGCAAGACTGACCAGATGAGCAGGGGTTGGATGGATATGTCCAATTTATGAGTCTCAATTTTATTATCAATGGAATGAGATTGTACTGATGTTCTTACACTTTAGAAAAATGACTCTGGATGAAAGATAATTGGGAACAAAGAGGGGACAGTTACTGGAGACAACTGAGATTAATGGTAGTGCTCAAAGTATATATTTAGGAGCCTAAAGTACTACATTAAAAACTAAAGCAGGGACCAGCAGTTGGCGTAATGGCTGTCGCTGGACTCCCATGTAGTCAACCAAGCGTGGAGTCTCGGACCCGATGGCTTAAACTCACACCGGGCACGTGCGTGTGCATGCCCAAGATCCCAAGAGGAGAATGGAGGAGAAAGGATTGTGGCGTGGCCATCCCCCCTCGGGGGTGATTTCTTGCTATCTCTCTGCCTCTCTCTGACTTTCTGAGGAGCACATGTGCCCTATAGCAAACACCTCTCCAAAAAAATAAAAATAAAAATAAAAATAAAAATAAAAAATAAAAAAAACAAAAAATCCCTAAAGCAGAATTAAGAATGCTTAGAAATGGACAGATCCAGGAGATACTAGGGAGGTCCCCTACAATTATTAAACAAATAACTTGATTTCCTCTGGGAATAACAAAGAAGACAGTCTTCGGACTATAGAACTTTAAAATAAATTGTTTTAAGCTACTAGAGAACTTGATTACTTTTAACCTGAAATTGTAAAAGAAAAGAAATTCTATCTTCTTGTGACGGGAGGCTAAAGAATGTACAAAAATTTCCCCTCAAAATGAGTCAAAAGCTAAATATTTTATTAAGATAAGCTCTAGAAGCCATTTTAAAATCAATGTTCCATCACAAAAACAAACAAAACCAAAAATAAAGCCTGTGTGTGAGGTGAGGAAGCAAAGTGCAAATTATCACCCTCAAAAGAAGAAACGATAAATGAAAATGAACTTTTTGCTCAACATTTATATTTTAAACATATTAAAGTACAAAATGCTGTCAATGTATAGGGAATAACTTAGACTAAAGATACACATTTTATATTGTACCATTATTTATACTACCTCATTTAAATGTCAAACTTGCTTTAACAGTACGTGAAATTTTAGATGATGTTATAAGGCTACAACATAATGTTAATTTCAGCAGAGAATAATTTCTAGAACTCAGTTCATTAGTCTGAACCGTTCATTATTATTTTTACTCCACTTACCTTTTTCCAATGATGCCAATACTTTTCCCTCTCCTCCTCCCTTTTTCAATGAGGACATTAAAATAAGATGTAGAGTTTCCTGAAAACAAGTGTAATCGTTCAGTAAAATGAAAGTGCTACCTACCCTTGTCGGTCCTTGTATATCTTGTTAACTTTTTCCCATTGGAAATCGAGCTGTGAGAGAGCTTCCTGTAGCTTCACCTTTTCCACAGGTGTGGCGCTTTGCATTGCTGCCATCTTCTTGTTATGAATAATGTCAATCCGACCTGAGATTTGTTGCAGATTGTCTTTTATATTCTGTAATATTGAAATTTTAAAACAAGTAAACAGTAAGTCAACTGTCTATGCAAAGAGGAAAAAAGACACATATAAAACCCAGAAGTGGGCCAGCCCATGCCATGGTGGTTAAGGTGGCTGGATCCTACATGGCTACCAGTGTGGTTCAAGTCCTGGATCCAATGGTTTAAGAAACATTCCAGGTGCATGTGCATGTGTGCCCAAAATTCCAAGATGAGAATGGGGGAGAAGGAGTTTTGGTGTGGTCATCTCCCCTGGGGTGTGATTTCTTATTTTCCCTCTCTCTGTCTCTGTCTGGCGAGTGTGTGCTTGCCATAGCAAAAAAAAAAAAAAAAAAAAAAAAAAAAAAAAAAGAAAGAAAGAAAAATTCCAGAAGTAACAAATGGTCTCACAATTCCTAATTATTATTAACTTTTTAATTTTATTAACTCTAAAGACCAATGACTTTTTTTTTCCAAGATAGATTTTTGCTATAGGGAATATGTGCTCACCAGAGAGACAGAAACATAGACAGAAAGCAAGAAATCACCTCCCAGGGAGGATGGCCACACTGTAATCCCTTCTCCTCTGTTCTCCTCTAGGGATTTGGGTCATGCACATACACACACCCGGCATGAGTTTCAAGCTGCCAGGTTCAGGACTCAAACCACAGTTGGTCACGTGGGAATTCAGCAACATTAAGCATTATGTTATCTGTTGGTCTCTGAAGTCCAATGACTTTAACATGCCCAGGTTCAATGGGTAATTCGTAGTCACCATCCTAATGCAGCTGTGAACACTCCCTGTAACATAAGACTGTCATCATTTGGCTTCTGTAACTTAAACTCTATTAGATTCTCTTCCACTTTTGTGTCCAGTGCTTCTCAGCTTCCTTTGCATCTCAGTTTCTTCTTACTGATCTCAGTATTGAGGGCCCTGGCTCAGTGTCCACACTTCTTTTCTCTCTCTCCACACCACCTTCTTTCTGTTCCCATGATTTTAAATACTCTCTATGAGAAAATGACACTTAAGCTTATATCTCCAGCCAAGATCTTTCCTATGAAGTTCAGATGAACAAGTATGAGTGCTTTCTTGATGGTTAGATGTCTCACAAAGATCTCAAACTCAATATAGTCTTCTAAATATTTGGGATTGCATCTGTCCAATCTTATTCCTTCCTTGGTTTCCTTCATTTCAGGAAATGGCATACTGATTAATGAATACTCAGGTTGCTAAACCTGGAACCATCCTTGACTTCTTCTGTTTTCAGTATTTAAATTGTTGGACTAACCTTTTGATCTTACCTCTAGAACCCATCCAGAATTTGACCAATTCTCACTACCTCACTTGCTCTAGCTCCTCTCTTAGTCAGTTCTCTACAAAACAGTCAGAGAGATTCTTTTGTAAACACAGATGGAATCATATCCTCTGGTCAAAACTGTCCTTTGGCTACTCATTAAATTCAGAATCTTTACTAGGGTCTATAAAAGTCTATATAATACAGTTGTATGCTACCTACCATTCCAACCTCATCTTTTCCTAGTCTCTCCTCAGTCTATAATACTTCCATCTCATGAGTACCTTTGCATTCCTTAAGTATGTCAAGCATGCTCTTGCTTCCAGAAGTCTGCACTTGCTGATCTCTCTACCAAAAATACATCTTCTCACTGACATTTGTAAGGATGATTCTCTCACTTCTTGCTCATCTTAGAGACTTCTCTACTACTCTGTTTTTAAGTAGCAGCCTTAACCACACTCTATTCCCTGCATTCTTTATTTTTCTTCATGACATATATGACTAACAAAAAATAGATATCAAGTGGTCTGTATACACCACTACACTAAACTCTGAATATTGTAATATGATCTCTCTTGCTCTCTGTCCAGTTTCCAACATCAAACCCATGCCTGACACATGGTAGGCTCCCAATACTTATTTTGTTCAATAAATGAAGAAAATAATTTACCCCGCAGATTATCTTCATAATTTTTTAAGAATCTATATTATATTTAAGGGGAAAATAATACAGCACAAGTTTTTTTCTTAGAAAGGGAAATCTTTGAAAAAATTAGTCACCAAAGAAATTTGGTAAAACAATACATGTTTGGCTAGTATTCCCAGTATGAATTTGGTTATTTTACACATTTGAAATGTTATCTATAATCAGTCAGCTGAGAAAATATTTACTGTTCTTTTTCCAAGTGCAATGAGCAATACGGGAAAGGAGAGGTGGTTGAAGCCCAGGGTTTTTTTTTTTTTAATTTTTTTAGGCTAATTTTTTTTGTTAGTTTTGTTTTTATTTTTATTTTTTAAGAGAGATTTTTGCTATAGGGCATGTGAGCTCACTGGATAGACAGAGAGACAGAAAATGAGAAAACACTCCCTGAAGGGGCATGGCCAAACCACAATCTCTACTCTATTCTCCTCTTGGGATTTGGGGCACACACACACATGCAGACAGCACGAGTTCCAAACCACCAGGTGAACAGTTGGCCATGTGGGAGTCCAGCACCTTAACCACTATGCCACCTATTGGCCCCTGTTTTTATGAGGTGTTAGATGGATTTTATTGTAGTAGTAGAGAGAATGTGTTTGAAGAACAGGAGAAAAAAACATGAAAGTAAAGAAACCCCAGGTAGGCTAGAGAAAAGATTATAATGAGTGGTTGAATAGGTACACAATATTTTCTAGCAGGTCAGAGAAGTGATGAATCATATATCTGGACACAGGCTCAGGAATGGGTTCATGATGATTTAATCTGAGGTAAACCTAGCTGAGTAGCAGAAATGGTAAAGACATTAGAGCTAGTAGGTACCACACACATAAATAGACATAACATGAACAATTGTATATGGAAGACTTCTGAAATGTAGCAGCTTAGGGGAAGATGGACCAGAAAAAAGGCTGGAGATGCTTAATAATATACTTTGAATCTCAGATTAAAAATTCTGCCTGTGATTTACTAGCCATTGGGGAACCATGATTTTTAAAAGTTTTCAATATGGAAAATTTCAAATATACCCAAAAGGAAGACAAAAATACCAATGGCCCCACGAATGTACTATCCATTGCCAACTGTTAGGATGCCATGGACAACATCGTTTCAGTTCTACCACATTCTACCTACTTGTTTAACTAGATTATTCTGAAACAAATTGATATTCAATTTTATCTGTAAGTACTTCAGCATATATTGTTAAGATATAAAAACTTTATTCAAAGACTATACACCTATTATTATTTCATACCAAAAAGTTAACAAAAATCTATAAATATAAACAAATATCTATTGGGTCGTTAGGAAAGTCATGATATATTTTTCTCTGTAAACATGAATCATGAATTTCCCAGCAACCTAATAGTAGGTACTTATATCTGAATTGAATCAAGAAAGGAGTTTACAAGAGAGAGCTGGAAAATTCAGTGATTGTGTGTTAGTTAAAGTAGAGGAAGTACTGGGGCCAGCAGGTGACATAGTGGTTAAGGACACTGGACTCCCACATAGCCGACCGTAGTTCGAGTCCCAGAGCTGGCGGCTTGTTTTCTCTCTTGCTCTCTGGCGTTCTCTCTCTGTCCCTCTCTGGTCAAATTTAAATAAATAAATAATGTTAACTAAAATAATTCTTTAAAGTAAAAAAAATAATAAAAAGAAGAGGAAATACTTGGATAACTTGCATTTGTCAGGTCTAGTCATCTACATAAATAGTGGTGCCATCTAGTGAAAGGATTTCAGGGGGCCAGCAGGTGGCATTGTGGTTAGGGGCAATGTACTCCCACATGACTGACCATGGTTCGAATCCCAGACCTGGCAGCTTGCTTTCTCACTTTCCCTCTCTTTCACTCTGTCCCTCTCTGGTCAAATTAAAAATAAATAAATGAATGAATAAAGTTAAATAAAGTAATTCCTTAAAAATTGAATAATAGTAATAAATAAAATTAAATACTTTTTTTAAAAAAGGACTTCAGGTAGATGAACAGATTCTATGGGTGCAGGGTTTTGTATCTGTACTTAAATGATAAGTTCAGTTTTGGATACAATCATACTGAGAAGCCTTGGGACATCGAACTGAAGATGTCCAATACAAGGTTGGCAACCGATTTTGAGAACAGGAATGAGATGGGAATTATTGTTGGTATATTTCTTCATGGTCTGGATTTTCTGAGCAAAGATCAGTGGCTATTAGGTTAAAGGATAATCGAATAGCTAACATGTCTTGGAGTCTAGACTAGTACATTGCTTTAGGGAGATTTAAAAGCTTATCTC